TGAGAGATTTTATTTTATTGTTAGTTATTTTGTGAAAATAACAAGAGAGAGAAAGCTTGAGAGATTATGAATTTTTTTATTAAAATTCCTAGAGAAAATATGTTAGAGATCATGGGTATGAAATGCTGTTTTTTGTTTGTAAAAATTAATTTTAGTGCAAATAAAATTAATTCCAAGGAATTAAAAAAATAATAGTTTGATTTTTAAATTTTGATAATTAAATTTTTTTTCAACTATAGATTATTTCAACCTTAGCTGACATTAAATGATTCAAAGATTTTAACATTGAGAATTATTATTTGGATAATTAATTAAAATGATTTAATGCTAGAATTAAATATGAAGATTTATGTTTAGGAATTAATATTTGCAATTATTATTTGAATTTGTAATTAAAATGATTGGTAATATGTTAGAATTAAACATTAAGAATTATGTTTGAGAATTAATGTTTAGAATTATTGTGTGTATTTTTAATTAAAATGATTGGTAATATGTTAAAATTAAATATTAAAAATAATATTTGAGAATTAATGTTGAGAATTATTTTATTAATTTTTAGTTAAAATGATTGGCAATATGCTATAGTTAATTATTGAAATTAATATTTGGGTATTACTTTTTTTTTTTATAGATGTCAACTAATGAGGAAACAAATTTTGCAACTAATGAGATACTAACACGATCAACATCTACACCTCATGTTACTGCTAGTTCTACCGAAGCCAACAAAACATGTGAAGTTGTAAGTAAAATGCGAAAGCAAAGGGAGTCATCTCAATCTACATCGATTGTGTGAGATCACTTCACCAAATTTGTTGACAAGAAAGGTAATAAGAAAGCTAAATGTTCTCATTATGGTAAAGAATTGTGTGCTGATACAAAAAAGAATGGAACATCTTCTTTGAAAAACTATATTAAAGTTTGTCCTAAGTTGAAATTGGTGCATGATAGTGAAGAGAACAAGAAGATGGAATTAGTTCTTGCATCGAGAGAGGATGGGTTGGGTAATTGGAAGTTTGATCAAGAAGGAATTAGGAGGACTTTAGCTGAGATGATCATTTTAGATGAATTTTCTTTTAAGTTTGTGGAAAATGAAGGATATAGGAAGCATATAAACAAAACATGTCCTAGATTTCGTATCCTGTCATGATAGACTATTGCTAGGGATTGTTATAAGGTTTATATTGATGAAAAAACTATGAAAAAATTGTTGAGATCATGTCCTGGTAGAATGTGTCTCACCACTGACACATGGATTTCGATTCAAAGAATTAATTATATGTGTCTAACTACCCATTTTATTGATAATGATTGAAAGTTGCAAAAAAAAAATTTAAAACTTTTGTCCGATCACTAGTCGCAAAGGTTAAGCCATTGGTAAGGCAATTAGTAAATGTTTGGGGGATTGGGGGATCTAGAAGATTTTTTCTATCACTATTGATAATGCTAGTTCAAATGATGTTACAATAGGATATTTGAAGAAAATATTTAATGTTGCTGGAACTAATATTTTAGGAGGTAGATTTTTTCATGTGAGATGCATTGCTCATATTGTTAATCT